TGTTACTGGGATACCTTTGCTATATATTTCCTTGTATATAGCAAAAATAATCTTCTGACATAAAAGCATTTACACAACCCTTTCTCTGCCCTTTCAAATTCAGCCAAATGCAAAGCCTTGTCTTCCTGAATGTATTAATTTAGCTTCTTACCCAGGTGAATTCCCTTCTTGTTTTTATCCTTTCTGAATTTGCTTCATACATGTGTTTTTTAACATTTTCCTCTTGCATGCCCTTTACTCCCACCCATTTCCCTCCTGGTGTGTCAAAGGGTATCAAAAAGCCAGTGTACTAATTAGTTGTCTAGACACAAGCAGTATTTTTCAGTAAAGGCAGCAGAGATGCATTAGGAAGAATAGCCATGAAGTAGTATGAATTAGACATAAACCAAGGGTTTTCACACAGCCCTGTATTTGACAAATAGAGTGCATGGGCAGTGATCAATGCAGGATAGAGAGGTCGTACATTTTGATGATGTTAGAAGTGTTATAGTAAAAGAAGCTGATAAGTAGTCAAGGAGCAAGTTCTCAATGTTTGGGGCTTTTTAATGTATTGTCTAGTTGTTTCTTGGGAAGGGTAGAGTGCAGGGTAGATGTTTGTATTTTGGATGGGAGGACTATGAGTACTAGTGTATTTCCACCAACAACCCTAACCCATCTCCTTGTACAGTGGGGAGGATATTACCTCTGTCTAATGTCACCTGACAACAAGAAACATGCAAATATTGGGTAGGATTATGCAATTAAAATAATTTATAGTTGCACAAGAAAATGCTGGTTTGCAGATATTGTCTTAAAAGCCTTCACATTTAGTAGATTTATGCCTTCTTTCTCATTTATGTCTTTTCAAAATTTCTTGTGTTCCATTTGCATGGAATTTCTGTGATGCATCTGTTCTGAATTGTCTCACATTGTTTAGGTGTTTTGGCAGAGGTTGATAATATGTTAAAATCGTCTTTATAACAAGTGAATACTATCTGTGTGAGGTTTTTTGGTTTTGGACCCAGTAACTCCCTTGTGTCTGTGAGATGTGCTTCAGAGAGGGCTGGTTATTAATTTACAAAGTAGAAGGATAAAAGTCATTCAAGATCTTATGACTTCTGTAGGTATAAACTTGGAAGCATTCCTTTTGTTATTCTCTGCATTGTAGTTCCTGTCTTAAAACAAAGGCTGGCGTCACTATTTTAGCCATTTTCCTAGCAGTGCTGGACTGGCCTTTTTGGCCTGGTTACTAAGTGATGCAATTGCTTTAAATAATTTCAGATGAGTCCTGAATTAGGAGCTTGTCACGGTAGGTAGCCAACCTAGCATGTCAGTTATTGTACCCTGTAGCTAATTCACTATGTGCCAAGGTTCCCAAAGTATAGCAGTATTTTTCTTACACTGCATACATGTTGTGGATGAACTCCACTCGGTGGCTAAGCACCATCCAGCCGCCTGCTTACTCTCCCCTGCTCCAAGGAGGAGAAAATCAGAGCAAATGCAAGGAACCTTGTCTCTTGAAAAATGGCTGGATAAGTAAAGAAAAGAGGAAGAAGAAGTGGGACAAAGAGGAGGAAACAGCCCAATAAAAAAGTAAACCCCAAAATAAAACTAAAAACCCACCAGTCCCTCAAAACACCCACAAGGCAAAGCTAATTACTTGCTGCCTCCCACAAAAAACCAATGCCCAGCTAGTCTCTTGAGCAGTGCCTACCTTCTTCAAAAATGCCCTCTCCTCAGTGGCATGGAACATCCCTTTGGTAAGTTCTGGTCAGCTATTGGCTGTGTCCCCTCCCAACTTCCTGCACATTACCAATCTTCTTGCTAGGGACACAGAGATGGATGGGGGGGAGAGAGAACCTTGATGCTGTTTAAGCTCTGTTCAGCAACAGCCAGAACATTGGTGTGAGATGTTTTAGTGAAAAGTCCAAAAATGTTTTAGTGAGAAGTCCGAAACATAGCACCAGGAGCTGCTATCCATCTGATACTAAGAAGCTACACTTTCACCTGAAGGGCTCTGGTATGGTCAGTAGCCACAACCAAAATGTTTCTGGTGTTGCAGGTAAAGATTCATGCTGGCCCAAAGTTTGCATCTTACTTGACATTCAGCCCTTCAGAAGTGAAATCTCTGCGCACAGAATATGGGGACCTGGAGTGCTGCATTGAGGTGGTGGACAGTGTTCAAGAGGCTGTTGAACATATCCACAAGTATGGAAGTTCCCATACGGATGTTATTATCACAGAGAATGGTTAGTGACTAGGCTCCTTCTTTAAGCTGCTGTTTTGGTTTCACTGCTAATTCCTGGTGTTAGTGCAACTAACTACATTGTAGTAGTTCGTCTCTTGGGTCTGTGCCAGTTCAAAACCTTACTAGAGCTGTGCCACGACAAAGGTTGACTCTCCAACCAAACCAAGTCCAGAACTTCGGAGAAGCAGCTGCAGTTTAAGGTCATGTGGATTTGCAGCTGGCTAGTGTGAATCAAGTAGGCTTCTGTTTGTGCGCTTCTTACTGAGCTTAAATGCATGTCACTAAAAGGCTTGCATTTGATACCATAACCACTGCCACAGGACCTGGTGAACTAGTGATTTATACTGGTAATAGAGTTGCTCTTGAATGTCTGTCTGGTCACCAAGGGCTACTGACCTCCAAGTTCACACACTTGCATGTGGCAGTTTTGCATTGTAGTTCTCAAATATTACCTGCAATAGCAATTCAGTTTAGGATTTCTCAGTATTTGGAACAATTCCATGTTTGAGACTAATGGAGACCTGGCTGTAGCTTAACTGTCTCTGTTTGAATGACAGATGCTGTTTGGGGCAGCTTTCTTTCTCCTCAGTCACGCAACTAAATCTTTCTTTGACTAAACTGAATGGAGTTAGAATTAGACATCTTTTTGCTTTCTTCTAATTTTTGCAAGCTTCTTCTAAGATTTGCAGTTGTATCTCCTTGATAAGCATACTGGGAGGAAGTTAAAAATGAGCATGGCTTAGCCCAGGCTGTTCAAGTACTGTCTGATAAGGTTGCATGTAAAAGTTGTGGTGTTAAATATGTTTGCTGGTTTTTGCTGTGTTTATTGGAATACCTGATCATTCTGTATGTAATGGATTTTATTTTTGTCTCTCCCTCTTTCCCAGAAAAAACAGCAGAGTTCTTCCTCCAGCATGTGGACAGTGCTTGTGTTTTTTGGAATGCCAGTACCCGATTCTCTGATGGCTATAGGTTTGGACTGGGTAAGAGGGAAGATATTGCAGGGTTGTTACTGCAACATTTTCTGGTGTGTGAGAAGTGTGGCAGTATGAACCCTGAAAGATAGGATTAGTCTCTTATTGTCTAATAAAAGGTTTTCAGGAAAGGTACTGTACAAAAGGTTGAAGCCTAGAAATTTCATCCACACAAAGAATTTTTGAATCCTTTGAAGCTCTATTCAATTGCAATAAAGTGTGCTGCGTGCATATATTGATAGAACAATGCAATATGGGATGTGAAACTGCTGAACAGCTTTCCTTTTGTTTCTCTTTCTAACGATGCTGTAAGGAATGTAGTGCTTCAGTCCTGCTAGGCAGACTGAGATGCTGTCCAGTGTGCCAGTCCTGCAGTGTTAAGGAATGAGGGGCAAGGAACCAAACTGTGTTTCAACTGATGAAATGCACCTTCTGTGAATTCCAGAAGACAAGGGAAACATTCCTTGATGAAGTAGAAAATCAGAAGTCTTCACTACATGTTATTACTGTGTCAACTGGAACAGTGTTCCGTGTGACTGAAAAATTCCAGTTAAGGTCTTCCAGTATCTCCTCTGTATGTGATAAAAAAGGATGTAAGATCATAATCTTTAGTAGTTTAGCTTTTTTCCTTTTTTTAAGGATTATGCCCTTAGATCAGTCTAAGAGCAATGTAAGAGATGCCTCTCTTGCATCTTTCTTTCTGAAAGTAACTGTAGCACCCAAAAGTTTAAACATTACAATTTATAATGCAATAGTTAATCTCCTTGAGCTTCTCTATCAAGTAAATGGAACTGGTATTTGGAGAGGAGCAGAGAATGGCAGGTCCCTGAGGGGCAGGTAGCTTTTTTACTTAGAGGTGCAAAAACATTTAGTATGAAGTGACCATCAGAGGATTAACTGCCTTTATCTTGGGTGTTTCCTACAGGTGCTGAAGTGGGAATTAGTACTTCTCGTATCCATGCACGTGGACCAGTGGGAATTGAAGGACTCTTAACTACTAAGTGGTTGCTGAGGGGGAACAATCACGTTGTTTCTGACTTTTCAGAGCATGGGACCATGAAGTATCTTCACGAAAGCCTCCCTCTCCCTCAGAGAAATGCCAACTAAAAACACTGGGGAGAAAAACAGGCAGTATAATTATTTCCTGAAGATGTTCAGGCTTCAGCATAATCTCTGGTGAAGGAGTTTGTTTTTCATCTTCAGAAACATTGTCCTTGGTCATTTTGCAGTAAAATGAATACAAAATGATCCCATCAATGAGAATTCCCCCTCTCCCCCTTTCAGTTTCCTTAGACAGTATCTGTAAACTGACCTCACTTCTCCCAAAAACAGATTTTTTCAAATCATACAGGTAACATAAGGAAGAATTTCAGTATCAACTACATGACTTTTTTATCCCAGTGCTCCCTGTAGCAAGTGTGTTTGGTGGTGGAGCTTAATTCTTTTTTTCTAAGTTTTGTTTTATTCAAGTATGTGTTCTGGATAACAGACCCAGTGGTTTTGGTTGTGAGGGCTTTTTTCTTCAGTCTTAGGATCATGGCATCTCTTGAGGGCCAGAAAGCTTTATGCTTAATTTCTTTGTATTTGATCAGTCTTGAGATAGGGGGACAGATGTTCCAAATGTATAGTAAGCTTTTGACCAAGAAACCTTTTATATCTAATTCTTTGTATTGTTGACTATTGTAGATAAATAACATAATTGTCTGCTACATTAATTGTGTTATTTATTTGTATCAAAGGTTTATTTTTCTTTGGTTTTATGTAAAACTTCAACAGCACTTTGATGATGGCTTGTCCAGAATGAAGCTCTCCATCTGCACTAATGCTTCCCGTGGTGCACTGCAGCCCTGCCGCACGGCTGGTGGTGGTGCTGCACCCTTTTCTCAGTCATGGGGCATCACGATGGGGCACGGGGTGGCCCTCCCCTCTGAGCAGATGCCAAGGGCCAGTGGACGTGGGTGAGGCGAGTGAGAGGCCTTGGTAGGTGTGGATGGCTCCTGTTTGCTGAAGGTGGCACAGTAGGGGAGCTCAGATTGGCACTGTGGTGGGGGGGGATTGCAACACAGGGGCTACAAGGGGTGCTTTGGCTGGTCATGAGGGCTGTGGTGCTGTCGCAACCACGGGCAGTGCATGCACTAAGCGCCAGTGCACACGGCAGCAGGTGGGCCCCACAGCAGGGCCGTGGTACTGACACTCACCTGCCTGGGCTTGCTGGTGAATAGCAAAGAAGATGGCTTCAGAACCCCATTCCTCCAAAGTGATGATGAGGGAAGGATGCTGAGGGGGGAGTTCTCTGAGGGGAGGGGCAAAGTTGGGAATTGAAAGGAGAGGTTTCAAGTCAGTGTAGGGGGGAGAGAGCTGTTCAGGAGCAGTTCCCTTGGAGCACGTCAAGGGAGGAGGTTAGCTCTCAGCACAATGTGAGGACTGTGCCCAGGAAGGCAATTCCAGAATGAGTCTGTGTTGTGTAAACTCTGTTAAACAGTCTGTTTTCTGCACCGTACACTGTACCTTCCTCGGGTCTTGATGTCTCCATAGCTCTTAGTGATTACTAGGCACCTTGGTAGCCCTCCCTTGAGTCTCAAATGCATTGCTACATTGAGCTACATTGCTACTGTTGAGCCTTTCTTGTCTTGCAATTCCAGCTTAAGGTGTGGATCTGTCTGGTGTTTATCATGTTGTAGATGTTTCTGAGCAGTCATCTCTCACATCTCTCATCATCTCTCACAGTGATGGCAAGAGAGTGGTTCATTTCCACTTCTGCGAGTTCTCTTTTGTCAGAGCTGTCTCCAGGGATTGCATCCTCATGTCCATAACAGTCTTTTGTCTTTGGCTTCTTGCTCATCCATCATTCTTCTTTTGATGGCTCTCATCCACATCTCTACTGATGGCTGCAGCACTCACCACTTTCAGGGCCCCTGTAGAACACCTACACTGTCATGGCACTGTTGGATGGACCTCTCTGCTGGTGGGTGCCAGATTCCCTATGGAAGTCAGTCACGGTGCTTGCTTGTTGGGTGTCCATGTCATGGTGGGAGCTGCCCTGCCCAGGGGTGTAGCAATACTAAAGACAGGGTAGCACAGCCTCAGGATGGTGTGGTAGTAGGTTGATCTGTCTAGATAATTTGGGCAAAGACCATAAAATTCATCTTTGGGCTGCAGACAGCTGGCACAGTTGTCTTCATTAACTTTTGTGGGCATCAGGCTCTGGCCTTCAGGGAGTAGTTTGTGTGGTAGTGGAGTGGGCTGGGTCTTGAATGTGCCTTGGCTTTTACAGGTGGGGCTCAATATCTAGGTTCTTTTAGCTGTATTAGTGTAGAGTAAGCTAGAACTGGACAAAGTCAATATTTGATAGACCTTTACTTGTCATGTATTTTAAAAACCAAATGAATTGGAATGCTTAAGCATTTCTAACGAATTTTTAAAGCCTACAGGTTTTTAGATAAGGTAAAAACTTACTACTTTTAACTGCCTGCTTGCCTGATGAATTCTTCGGTCAAAGCCTGGAATTTTATTTTTCAAGGTTTGCAAAAAAGTTACAATAAAAAACCTTACAGAAAAGACTTCGTGTTGAGTGTGAGGGAATGAGAGCACTGATCAGGTTTTATTTAACTGTAAAGGTTAACCAAAAACTCTAATTTTTTTTTTTTCCATTATGGTTTCCTTTGCAAGTGCACTTCTTTTTGCCCAGGAAAGCACTGTTTAGTAGATAGAAAGTTGCTATTTTTCCATGTTCTGTAGCAAAATGGGATCATCTTCAGAGTTTCTGGTCTCTTACAGACTGAAACAGCTTGGGAATTAATACGTGGGTGATACTGCATAGCAGTGTAGAACATTTCACTTTCGATTGAAATCCTGTTAATATTATTGGAGTTCTCTGATGAAAGTTTGGTCAATGTAATTTCCTAAGTCAGCTGTGATTTCTAAAGATCTTATAAGATTGCAGGTTAAAAAGGTGAGAGTATATGGAGTGCTTTATAATTCAGGTATATTTAGTGCCGGAGACAAAATTGTGCCTAGTCAAAATGTGAATTGAAACATTTTAGTAGTGTATGTTACATGATGCTAATGTACAATGCAGTGTTAGTATTCTAAAACACTATTGCAAGCGCGTGTTTAAGACAACTACAGAGGTAAACAAGCTTTATGATTATTTCAGGGATCTTTCTGTCTCCAAACTCCTGAGCAGGAAGAAAACGTGCTGAAGGTCCTGCTAAGACAGTCTGAATGGTGAAGTATCAATGCGGGGTAAATTACGTTTAAATGCAGTTACTCCTGCTTTAAAGAGCAGAGCAAGCACTTTCCTTGCGTTCCTGTGGCCCTTGCGTATTCATAACGATACCCCTTGCAGGGCCAGCAGCTCTGAGTACTGTATCATTTAAAGCTGCAGGTCGACAACTTTTACCAACGGGGCCCATCTCGGAGTGTGGGGGGCAGGCGGGCGCCCCAACAGCCGGGCCGGGTGCCGCCATTACCGGGGGTGGGCGCGGGGC